GCTCATTCTTTATACCCAGCCATACATACTGGGCTTAGTAAGCCCCTTTAGGTGGTTTAAAATGCAAGCAAAATTCACCCAATATAGCACGGGGCTCACCAAGGTTATTTTGGTCATTTGACGTGGCCAAGGACTCATAACTAAATAGGGAAAGCCCACAAAGCAGGTTAAGGGGATATTATAAAAACCCTAAGTAAGAAGCAAGCTTGGAGTCTGCCTTCAAGTTTGCAATTTTTGTAGATGTGAGGATGAAGCCAAGGTCAGCAACGAGCTTAAATTCACACAAGGACTGCTTGATTCAGTCTATTGTTTTAATTATCCCTGACATGGTCCGATATATTGCCTGATATGTCCTTTTACAAGGCTTGCCGCAACCGATATGGTCACTAAATATTATTTCACTTTTTAGCTATTTTGGCCTATATATCAGGTGATATATTGGCCGATATATCCTTTTATATGGCTTGTCGCAAAACAATACGCGCATTTGACAATTTTTGGGCCGGTTATCATGATTTTCCCGTTATATCAAATGACATTTTGGCCTAAAAATCAGATGAAATGTTGCAATGTTGATTTGTACTTTTGTATGTTTTAGAAGGTTGATTAGTGATCGTAAACATGTATTATTCAAATTTCATATGCTTAGATTTCATTAAGTATGTTGAGATTACATTTTAGTGCATGATACTATATTTACAAACATCCATTATGGCATTCTAATATTTACCACATATCCCCGATATTTTCCCGATATCCGCAATCCGATATGAATTTTAGTCATCCGATATGTCCCTGATATTTGATATTTAAAACCTTGATGCAGTCTAAGACCGCACCTGATGTGAGTTTTGAAGCAACGACAAATTGGAAGGTGATCGACATGTGTTAGAGGTGACATCAGACAAAGTCTACATGGGACTAACATCCTGAATGACATGTAATTGTAAGGAATTCAAATTCCTGCATCTTTTAGGAAAATTCCAAAAGAGGAAGCTTCCTCCAAAGCTTGCGCGCCGACAAATTAACCTTGTGCCTACCAACTTCTATCCCGTTAAAGTTTAGATACAACTCAGAGAGGCGTCTCATGATAGTAACGTTAGAGCAACGTCGGGGCGGCACGACCCCAACTTTATTCTTTGATTGACGAATAGCATGACAGCTGACACATTGTAAAGCTCATGTCGAAATGAAGCTCACGCCTGCACAGATTGTCTGCCTATAAATAGAGGCCCTTTTTCAACTTTCAAGGGGCTGGATTTTTGGCAAAAATCTTGGCTTTTGTCTTAATATTTTCTGCTCGCTCGCTTCTCTAAGCTTGTGCAACGGCAAAGGTTTGAGATTAATCTCCTTTTGCTTTTGAGCTTGGAACCTTCAAAGCTCAACCTTACCTCATTATTGGGGTTTTCATACTCAATTCAGAGGGTTAACCCCTCTAGGATGAGTTTTAGCTCTTGAAAGAGAGTTGGCTTCTTGCCAAAATGACCCTTCACTCTAAACTCGAGGAAAATATATACAAATCATTTCTGACAACATTTACAATTAATGTTAGTGAGGCGCGGGCCTCAGGCGCGCCTAAGACGCGAAGCGCTTTGGTGCTGTGAAACAACCCCCACTTGATGCGGGGAGCTGCACACTCCGGGCGTGTGCCTGGAGAGCGCCTGACGCATGTCGTGCACATTTTGTGGGGGCGCACAGAAACGTGCGCCCTACAAATATTTTGATTCAGCTTATTTGAATCAGGTCTTGGGTTTGAAACCCATTTATTTCTTAAACTCGTTTTTAAAGACAAATCCAAACCCAATACCCGATCCTTTATCTAGTGATTAGGGCTCAATTGCTATAATCTCTTCGCCTTTTTCTCTCCCATCTCGGTTCCCTCCCTCTCTCCCATCTCATCCCTGAAGCATAGGCCACTGGAGACCTCGTCATTGAAGCACCGACCACTGAAGACGTCGTCAAAGCATTGGCGGCCAACTGAGACCTCGTCGGAGTACCGTAGGCCACTAATGAATTTCTAGTTATTTTTTTTCATTTTCATTTTCTTCATTTTTTAACATTCTACTATTTTTGAGTTTATTATTACAAGTTTTGGTTTCTATTCACATCTTTATTTACATCTGTATTTTGCAAATTTTGATAATGACTGGTATTGAACTAATGGAAAAAGATGAAATCTTGTCTCTCTTTTATTATTTTGAATAGGAATAGGAAAATATTATTCATGTTTAAATTAATGAAGTATGAAAATTGGAAACTTCATTATTTATTCTTTATTAACTCATCTTGTGTAACATGTAGAAAGGAAAGAATGAGAATTTAGCAAAAGTCAATGAGCAATTTGTTGCATATTTGCTTCTATATGGATATATGATAATTGATGAGCATACATGTTTGATGATGATGATGAGTGAGGACGACTAAACATTTCATTATCGTTTTACTTATTTCTTTGTTTCGTAGACTATTGGGTTGGATATTGGTCTTGCCTTGACTTTTGATCTGTGGAAACTTATGAACTTCACTATGTTAGGTATTTGTTAATTAAGATATTTTTCATGATTTAGTAGGTGAAATTCTATTTCTTAGCTTGTTTATGTGAAAATTCTTAAATATGTTGATTTCATACTTGTTTGTCTTATGTTAAAAAATATCTATTTGAGGTGCGCGCCTTGCTTTAGCGAGGCACGCGCATCACAGTGCACCTTGCGCATGGTGCGCATAAGGGGATTTTGCGCTCCGCATTACGCCTTGCAGCTCGATAACATTAGTTACAATGACAACAAGTGAGTGCTTGTATCGTTAATGGGTCTAAAGATATGATCCTATCACCACACCTCCCCATAACCCTTTATATACATAAGGTTTTTCAAGGAAGATGGCCGTGATGAATTCAAGTTCATCATCCCACAAAAACACTCCCAAGTTTCCATGTGGTGAGCTTGCAGGCACAAATCTTACAATATATTCTAGTTGGCTTTATAATGTATGTGCTTTAGTTAAGTGAGCGATTGCAATAGTCTCCTAAATACCATCTCATCTGGTGAAGTTCATTTTAGCCCCGAGTTTTCATATGGTGAGTGAACCAATCACAGGCACGAATCTTCTGTTCTATACTCTTAAATTAAGTTTCTCTAACCATTATACCAAAACTCTAAAGTTATGGTAATGATCGGAGATTATAATTTTATATTAATTCTAACATGTCTCTGCAGGTTGAGAGTTTTTTTTTATGGGTCGAAACATGGACTCATGTAACAGTGTTAGTTTTTAGAAAATCCGCTATAAGTTCGTGGCTTGTGGGGTTTGAACCTGAGTTGCTCTGATATCATCTTAAATTAAGTTCCTCTAACTATTATACCAAAACTCCGAAGTTATAGTAAGGATCGAGGGTTATAGTTTTATATTAATTTTAAGATGTACCATCTCCTTGTGATGGCTAATGTTTAAAGAAGTGTTACAACCTTTTATGAAGTGAGGTGTAAGCTTGAAAGCGTGAGACATGAGCCTCATGAGTTTAATTATATTTTAGTTTTAAAACTTACACATATTATAGACTCGTAATATGAAGCAGTAAAATAATTTACAAATATATTTATTGAGGTTTTAATTAGTAAATAAGAATCAAATATGCTACTTATGGACACAAATCATAATAATTAAGCTACATATATCTTATTTATAGTCACACGGTCATGTTAAATAGATACTCATCCTAGTTTTACCTGTGATGTTGAATAGGTACGTACAATATTTATAGTCACACGGTTATTTATAGATACACATTTTAATTTATTCAAAAATGTTTTTGTATCCTACTATCTTGTTTAAAGTGTGTGCTTCAAAAGAGAAGTGCTTCATGGGAGTGCAAAACGCTCACTTTAGTTAATTCTTTAAGAGCTAGGCATAAGTTCAAGGGATTAATTGCTTCTCTTTTGAGTTTTGAGTTTTGAAGGTAGTTCCAAAGCGAGATTCAAAAAGCTTTTTTCAAAACTGGTGTTTGGCAATCAACCTGATTTAAAGTTTATTAAGTTCATTAGTACATGGTGCGTATTGCGACTTTAAATCTTGCTCATAACACACATTCTATGCAATCTTTTAGTATCATTCTGTTTATTAGGTTTTCAACTTTTTTTTCCTAAGAATGTCAGCTCAGTTTAACATGTTAGTTCTTTTTGTTGGCTGGCTCAGACTGACCTGTCTAAATGGGCAAACTAGAAACTGTTCTTACTTAAACATGAAAATCAACAGTTAGAATATGTTTCTGAATAGTTCCAATATATTTTCTTGTTTATGATCAAGCTTACAGCATAGTTCTATGTTGTTGTGCGAAAAGGCATGAATAAGAAACAGATACAGTCATATTTGTTCACATAAATTTCAATATTTAGACCATTGCAAAACGTGTTTGCTGTATGTTTTAAGATAAGAACATAATCACATATTATATTTTAAAACCAGGCTCAACCTAATTTAAATCTCAATAAGCCAGCATGTCCAGTTTGCCATAGTGTTGAAGTTTATTTTTGGTTTACAGCAAGTGTTAAAGCTTGGTAATGGAAACCCTGGGTAGACTTTTTGCTTTTGTGAAGTAGATCTGTTGAATCACTGATGGCTGTTTCATAGTCCCATGGCATATTTCTTAGATAAGTTTGTTTTTCCTCGCAATGATATCTGCTTATTCGTTGATTTCTGTCATGTCCAACTCCAATGATGGACATTCTTAATGTACAGTGGTGGGGGAACACAATAAATTAGTTGTTAAAACATCAAGTTAATAGAAGAAATTTTCAAAATTGACCCAAACCAGGTTTTAATTTTAAAAACCGACCCATTTTTTTTATTTACCAAAATCGACCCACTTTTTGCCACGTCAGCTTAATCTCATTCCTAAACAGTCGGGGTTGGCAACCCCGACTGTTTAGGAGGTTGTTAAACCCCAATTAGAAGCTTTAAACCCGATTGTTTATGCCCTAAATAGTCAACCCCGACTAATTAGGAAATGAGATTAAGCTGACGTGGCAAAAAGTGGGTCGATTTTGATAAATAAAAAAAAGTGGGTCGGTTTTTAAAATTAAAACTGTCATGTCCAACTCCAATGATGGACATTCTTAATGTACAGTGGTGGGGGAACACAATAAATTAGTTGTTAAAACATCAAGTTAATAGAAGAAATTTTCAAAATTGACCCAAACCAGGTTTTAATTTTAAAAACCGACCCATTTTTTTTATTTACCAAAATCGACCCACTTTTTGCCACGTCAGCTTAATCTCATTCCTAAACAGTCGGGGTTGGCAACCCCGACTGTTTAGGAGGTTGTTAAACCCCAATTAGAAGCTTTAAACCCGATTGTTTATGCCCTAAATAGTCAACCCCGACTAATTAGGAAATGAGATTAAGCTGACGTGGCAAAAAGTGGGTCGATTTTGATAAATAAAAAAAAGTGGGTCGGTTTTTAAAATTAAAACTTGGTTTGAGTCGATTTTGAAAATTTCTTCCAAGTTAATATTCATAACCCTGTACAAATTTCATGCCATCACATTTATATTTCAGTATCTGTCTACTCTACATTTTTCTATAGTTTTTTGGAGAAATGAAATTCTGTAACATTTTATAGTCATTGATGTTTGTTTGATCATGATCTTCTGTGACTCTGTCTTTCTTTTGTGCTTTTAATGATTCTTCAGCCATGAAGTGTACTCTAGTTTCTGATTAAGCTTCAGCAATCTAATGGGAATTTTGTTTTAGGCCTTACTCAGAGGCAGATTCTTAAGAAATGGAACGCCACCTGAGAATGACAGGCCACCTTCAGTGGCAGCAAGAGAATTAGGTCAACTAAGACAGCGTCATCCTGTCTCTGGTTTAAGGTAAAATTTGGTTACAAATCGCAATAGCACTCTGTCAGTGGACTATGCCTTATAAGACCACCTTTACTGCAACGCTCACCTTTTTTGCTTCCTTTCCTTTAATATCACTGCAAGGTAATTATGACCTGGATATATTATACATGATTTTGGTTTGTTGGACGAATCATTAGGCAATATTATTTCTCCTATGTATGTATGTATATATGTATGTATGTGTGTGTATGTACATACACACACACATATATATATATATATATAGGAATCATTCTACAATGAATTCAATGATTCCAAAATAAATGAAAAGAGGTGGGTTATCAATTTATGCATGACTGCTCCGCATATAGTTCCTCGACTCGCATTTTCTAAATGGTATTTAACATCTAGAAAACTGCCAAATAAAATGCATTCCAAATAGAAATATTTTGGTAGTCGGTGGAATTTCATTTATAGAATACGATTGAATTGTGTAATAGTAATAAGTTTGAGAAAGCCGAGTTGATCCCTAGAACTACCGGCCCTAGAATCAGAAATAAATAAATACACTCTTCCATTGATTCAAAACTCTGATCGGAATTCAAGCTCAGATTGATGTCTTGTTTGAAATAAAACCTTTAACGAAGGGATCGATTGTTCGAATAATAAGCTAGTATCCATGCCTTTGTTCCCACAAAAGGGGACCAATGCTCCCATTGCGTATTGGTACTTATTGGGTATAGCATAGATCTAAACATTTTTATAGAATCCGCTGTGGAAGTTATTAAATCATTCATGATTGCACGTATATATGGTAGAGTTTTTGTTTGGTAAAGTGCACACTTCAATTAACTTGCTTGTACGACAAGGTATAACTTCATAGATATATTTTCCCTTTCCAGCTACCCGGCAACTGCAATAGATGAATTAGAATTTTGCAATTATACTATGATAAATGGATATTTATTCAATTGGTTGCATCTTATTGAAATTATCCTAGAGGGGGTGAATATGGTATTTGCTAATCTAATCCGATCACGATGCCAAATAAAAACTTAATAACTAATATATGCTAGCTATGAGATATACAATGAGATATGCAATGATATATAATGAAATAATGGGCGAATAATCTATGAGACAATATCCTTACAAAGAGATGTACACTAAATTACATGCAAGGATAAGCAAGTGTGTGCAATATGACAATAGGTGATATATAAATATGATAAATGATGAGCACAAGAATAATACATCAAGACAATCACAAACACAAAAAAAATGATCACGGAGTTCGGTCGACCCACAACCTACGTCTCCGCTCCTCACCCTCGAGGAGAATCTCGACTAATCACAAAATAACTACGCACTCGGTTTTCAAAAGCTCACCGAAAAGTTTTACAACTCACAATTGTAATCACATAATACACCCTCTAAGTGTTGGCCTCTCACGTGTCACATTGCTCAAGTGCTCGGAATTATAATCTCTCCCTAAGATTTTTAACCGACGTCACTCTTCTTGGAATTGATCCCGTCTCTCACAAACCATTTCTCTCGATGTCCTTACGTATTACAATGTGTTCTTAACAATAAAAGCGTAAATACAAGATTTGTTCTCTAATACAAAGATGAGAACTTAATTAAGCTCACTCTCAATGTTACAACCCCACAACCTAATAATTATACTATATGTGAAAATACTTAAGCTCAATGGGTGTGTGTATAATCAATGAGTATTAATGAAATCAAAGTTAAACTCAAGAAAATCTAGTATAAATGAGAGAATCAAAATAATAAATAGCTAGAAGATGAATTTAGAAACACTTCTCTAAAACAAGAGAGATGGAGATGTGAAGTTAAAAGCTCAAATCGAAATTGATCTCCTCTTCTTGTGAAAACCTCTTCACATAAACAAACTTGAAAACCACACTTAAACACCTCGAAATTGATCTCCTCTTCTTGTGAAAACCTCTTCACATAAACAAACTTGAAAACCACACTTAAACACCCTTAAACACTTGTAAACAACCTCTTCACATAAACAAACTTGAAAACCACACTTAAACACCCTTAAACACTTGTAAACTTGATTTAAAATTTTCTTAGGTCATTCAGAAGTTTGAAGGCAATGTGTATATATAGGATCACAAAATAAAGCTCAAAAACCAAGAAAATCCAAGCAAAAAGACAAAAACCTCAAAAAATCAGGAAGCTAAAAAACTAACCGTTACAATGTTATCAGTCGATTGATGAACATTGTCAGTCGACTGATGAGCTGATCGTTACAGGCAGTTCAATCTTCATCGGTCGACTGATGAACTCATTAGTCGACTGATGACTTGCTTCGGTCGACTGATGGTTCATCAGTCGTCTGAGTAGAAACTTTCTGCTTTTCCAACACACTTCTTTGGTCGACTGATGATTTTCATCAGTCGACTGATAATTTTCATCAGTCGACTGATAATGTGCTCAGTGACATATGCACAGTAAAATTAGACTTTGAAGTGGGTTTAAAAATAACAAATAAGTTTCAAAAATTATAACACTTTAGAAAATGTTTATAAACATGAAAATAAACATGTTACAAAAAGAATTTTTCAAATTGCATTTTCGATTTGTGAAAACTCATTATTTTACAAAATTGGTCAAAATACGAAATCTCAAAAACACATGATTTTGACAAAATAATATCAAACAAGTTTGAAACTTATTTTGAATGGATTAATAGACAGTATAAAAGATATAATCGAGTCTTTTAATCCATAAACACCTATTGTGTAAACTTTTAAAAATATGAAATTGTTAAAGCTTGATTTTAATGAAATCATTTCAAGCACGTATAAACATGAAACAAATATGTGTGTATATAGCTATATCCATTTGTTTCATATATATGTGGCTAAACTTGAAAGCAATAAAACGTAAACTATGTGTGTATAATTTGAGCTCTAAGTATTAGCACACAAGATATAATTCCTAAACTAATATGCCGAAGATAAAAATCTTCATTAAGCTCGACTTGGTTGCGGATGAAGCGGTATTGGATCTTGAATTCGAATTGCATCGTGCTTCATTCCGATATCCGCCAACCTCCATTGGATGTCATCGTTAAGCTTAATCCAACCAACCTCTAACGGATGATCTTTGTGTAGAATACCTAACAAACAAATATAAACACTCGATAAACGTTGTTAGGAATTGTTTGTTAATCATCAAAACTAGATTAGATAGTAGGCTCATAAACACGAGACCTAACACGTATTAGGATGTGTGGGAACTTGAGTGGACTCTTTACTGGTTGTAATTATCACCAGAATGTATTTATATGGATACCCATAACAATGATGCTAACCAAAGTTTAAAAAAGATAGTGAAAATATCGTTGTCTTATTCTGCAATGACTTGACAATTGATCCATTAAGACTACAATTATTAGTCTTGTTTCTTTCACATCTGTAATGTGCAACTTTTATTATTAAGGTGCTTCCTACTTGGTCTCCATTTGCTATTTCCATAGCCTAGTTATGCTGTGTTTTATTGACGTTCTACTTGATTTTTGCTGTTATCCAGCTTGATCCTGAGTTGCAATTGTTGTATGGCTTCTGTCTCCTAGTCGCTTAATTTGAGGCTGTTATTTTTAATCATATATGGGTTATTTATGAGAAATATTAATGAAAGCTATATCTCAAATCCTTTTTCCCCTGTAAAGGGAGGCATTTCGCTTCAGATTGGAGAATATTGTTCGTGGTCAAGCGAACAGTCAGGCTGAAAATTCGACCAGTCATGAGGTTAACACTGTTAGAAATGACCCAGTTGAAGAATCTAATGCAGTTGCACCTACTTCAGTTGTGCCATCAGATGATATACATGGCTCTCAATTGAGAAATGAGAACAGTGATAATCATCATATTGAAACAAATGTGACAAGTGAGTTGGAAGACAACAGAGCTAATGATGATATTGATTGGCAAGAATCTGTTACTCAAGAAGAGAATTGGCAAGAAGGTATGGAAAATGAGAGAGTGAATTGGCAACAATCTACTGATGCTGGGTTCAGTGATTGGCGGGACGAGACGGGAGAAGAATCTGATGTGAACTGGCAGGAAAATATAGACCAAGACTGGTCTGGTGAAGTACCAGATGATGAAGAGGGAGATGATAATCATCTCCCTGGGGTGCCAGAGTGGCATGAGAATGATTCACATGAAACTCTTGAAAACTGGGATGAAGGCCCTTCAGATCCACCAAGAGCTCAACACTCCATTCCCAGTAGGAGAGTCAATAGATTTATTCCACCTGATGATGACAATGTCTATAGCATGGAACTCAGGGAACTTCTAAGCAGGTCGGGTTTCATTTTGCGAGATAAATGATTTAGTTTCGCTTTCCTTAATTGACTTTTCGTATGTACAACCATATGTTGACCTGATTTTTCTTATTTTGTAGGAGAAGTGTTTCTAATCTTCTAAGTAGTGGGTTTCGTGAGAGTTTGGATCAATTGATACAGTCCTATGTCCAGCGTCAAGTTCATGCCCCCCTTGATTGGGATCTTCAAGGATCCCTGCCTACCCCTGCTTCACCAGAAGAGGACTTAAACCAACAAAGTGATGGCTTAAATCAGGCACAGCAGGATTCTGCTGCCAGGCCACCACTTATGCCATCTCCACCAGCACCACCTCGTCAGCCACTTTGGCACTCAGAGTTGCATCACAGCAATTGGACTCGACAGAGCATGAATCGTTCAGAAATTGTGAGTCATATTTTGTATAATATCAGGATTTTGTACCTGCTTATGAAATTTCCCTTTGTTTCATGCTAATCTACATGGTAGGTTTGTATTTGTGCATTATAGTAATTTGTGTTGTGCATCTACTCCTGTGGGATAACACTTACAGAATTTTGGAGTCCGTCAAGTGCATGGTATACAAATAAAAAAGTTCATGTCAACATTAAGAATTTGCAAAATGAGCTATCCTCTTCCTTCTGAATCATAAGAAGCTAAGAAGCTTACCTGTTCTCACCTATATCAGCCTGCACCAGAAATCAAAACTGGTGATCAGTACAAAGAGAAGAACATTAGTACTCAAGAAAAATCAGTATCAGACACCAGCTGAGCTAAAAGTTTGGTCATTGAAGAGCGATTCTTGATGGAGAATAACAAACTACAGCCGCTATCTCTGCCGCCACCATCCTGCTAGACCCTTCCACCACCCCTTCCACCAGCAGCAGCAGCAGCAGCAGATGCTCTCGATGTACCAATGCCAAGAAATTGAGCAATATTATCTGACACATATACACAGTTCCTCCTCTAATTTTATATAGCATATGCTCATTTTCCCAAATATCTAGATAATTATGTTGTTGACATGCTATAATATATTGCTTTTCTTTCTCACCCTGGCTATATGTGAATAAAATGTGTAGTCTGTGTTTTATTCACTAGTACTCATCCATCTATCTGCAAGAAGATGGATTTTATGCCTCCTGCTCTACTATATTGAAATTCGGGAGCATTTTGTTTCATATTGTGTCCTGATCAGTCTTAGACTTTTCTGCTTCGGAATCTTCATTTCTACACTATAAATTGCTGACAGCATGGCATTAAGTATTGGAGCCTAATGTCGCTTAAAAAAATTAAGTATTGAAGGCTAATGTCAAGCTGTTTTGGTACAGGAATGGGATGTTATTAATGATCTGAGGGCTGATATGGCTAGGCTTCAGCAAGGAATGAGTCATATGCAGAGGATGTTAGAGGCATGCATGGATATGCAGCTCGAGTTGCAGCGGTCAGTTAGACAGGAAGTTTCTGCAGCTTTGCATCGTTCTCCTGACAGACAAGGTTTGTATGAAGTTTTATGTACACACCAACTCAAAGTTTTATAGTGAAGTTTGATGCTCTTAAAATGTAAGTTGTTTATCGTTGCTAAACATTATGTTTGGTATTGCTAAACATTATGTTTGGTATTTTAGATTTGGCTATACCGAAACACAAAGTTACTCTCGTGTTACCATACTTGGTAAGGTCATAAAAATTGCAGTTGGATTACTGCCCTTATTTTAAACCATTGGTAGCCCACTTATTTAGATTGACATCAGAAGAGTTTTGTAACAGAGAATGACAGCTGAGTAGATAGAGACTATCCCCACAGTTAACATAATTCATGCTGCCCTGAAGCTTGGTTTTTTGTGCTGTTCACTAGTGGAAAAATCGGTATCCTTGACGGGCTTTCCCGTCAGGGATGTCAAATTTCCCGTCAGGGATACGTATCCTTGACGGCGTCCCGTCAAGGATACGTCGTCAGGAAAAGTCCCGTCAGGGATGAATCATCCCTGACGGGGAGCCGTCAGTAATGTATATTACTGACGGCAACATTATTGACGGCGAATGCCGTCAGTAATATTGGGGTACTCGTCAACATTGTTATGTGCATCGCTGACAGGGATCCCGTCAGCGATATGCATTAGCAGAAAAAAAAATCTGGTGATTACTAAATCAATTCCCTGTACATATCATCAATTCCCTGTACATATCATCAATTCCCTGTACATATCATCAATTCCCTGTATATCTCATCCAATCAATTTTGACAAACAAACCATACACATGTCATAAGTTCTAAATCCATACACATCAAACCATACACATGTCACAAGTTCTAAATCCATACACATCAAAACAAACAAACCATCCAAATTCGAAATATGTACATAATATCGTCAGTAAACCATACACATCAAACCATACACAAACACGATAACTTCCAAATCCACAACAATTTTCACAACAAACCATACACGTCATAAGTTCTAAATCCACATCAAACCATACACGCATAATCTCAACTATAAAGATGTCCACAATATACAAGCACGAGTTTAGGATATAACTCACTAAGATAGGTCATCCGCCCTATCCATGTCATCGTCCGCGTTGCCACTGGCGGATCCATCCCTATGACTCGTGCTCCCAATAGCATCATCTCCACCCTAACAAAAAAATAATTTAAATTTAGAATCACATAATATTGTCTATAATCATATTTTACATATATAATAAGTATACCTGTCTGCTACTCTCTCCACTACCAGTAAATGCCTTTTGAGTGGCCAAGAAGTTCATAATCTGGCTTTGCACCCGAGTAGGAACCCGCCTTCTACAAGATTTCATTATTTGCCTAGAAACCATCGCAAAAGTAGCAGTAGGCTGGATCACTCGCATAAGCTCCTCTTGAATATCCTCCCACATCTCCTCAGAAATCTGACCATCTAACATACTCATCACAGAGGAAACAAGCTGCATCGCCTGCTGAGTGCAATCCTCCTGCGGCATGTAAGAGGGCCCCGAGGGCATAGTCGATGGCATTGAAATCGGCGGAGGTTGGAATGGTGTAGAGACCCTCTGAGCTCCAACTCTCATCCACCTGGTCCTCCCCTATTTGGAAAGTCCACAAACTAAATGGCTCACATTATAATTCTGCTCTCTAGTCAGGGGCTCTTGGCTCTGTGCAACAACCTCAGAATACGTGTTTTCCAGAGCTTCCTAGAAGTCCAAAAAATAAATTTAAGAATTAGCCTTTCAAAAATAAAAGATATTTACCTGAACAAGTAAAATAAAAGTACATGTGAAGGGTGTTTTGTGCAACATAAAAGTACATGTGAAGAAGGGATAACGAGTGCTAATAAATAGTTGTTTCTTATGCATTGTTATATCTTATGCATTGTTATATCCTAACAAGCAAGCCCCTCATATTTATAGCTATCTGAAAGTAAATATGCAATACTCTCTTAAGAGTCTGATAAGCGCATTAAAAGCACATTGTGTTTTTTTTTGGTATATCATCTAATAATTATATACCAATTCGATAATTTAGCCATTAAATTTAGTTGGGAGCAGTTTTTTTTCATAATAACGATGTATTAATACCGAATCTTTGCTAATAGTCATTGTCATCAAAAGATCAAGCATGAAATCATTAAAACATGCAAAAAGAGATGACAAATGTGATGAAAGAATAAAAAGGCTACGGTGGAGAATGCACACACACTTACATACTTATACACATGTATGCATGTGTGTGTGTGATGTGTGCGTATGTATGCATATGTGTGTCAGTGTGTTCAATTCTTATAATAAACAGAGATTTCATATAGATGCATACATACACATTTACATGCATTCAAGAGTTGAAGCTATTATCTCTAATAAATAATTATATAGAACATATAATGATTACATGACTGCTACTTTTTTGGCCTATCATACAGTTTTAAGAGTTTGCAAAAGGGACATGACTTTGCTCTTCAACTTGAGAAAATGCTTGACATTATCTAAACTTAGATTTATACAAATCAATATCTTATAGCAGTTTCTACTACATCCTCTAGTGCAAAAATGAAAATAAATAGCTTTTTATATCCTAACAAGCAAGCCCCTCATACGAATGGGTCATAGTAACTCGGCTAATAAGAGGACCAAAAGAAGAGTACAAACAATAAATTAAAGGCATGATAACAGGCTAATAAGAGCTAAGATAATTAGTTAACCTGTATTTTCTTGGCCAATTCTAGCTTTTGTTTCTTAGTCTCATCGTCATCGTACCCCTTCTTAAATTGAACCATCGTTCTCCTGTGCAGTTCTGGTAGTGGGATAAAGGGAGCGTTCTGAGATTTAAAAATATATTTATTAGTTTTATTTATCAAATATTCTAAGAAGCAGAGAGAATATATATAGAAGATTAAAAGACTTTATACCGTTGTCCTACAAAATTGATCCTCAATCTGGGCAAATGAAGTAGTCCCCGTATGATGATCATAATCTTTTTTCCATCGATTAAGTTTATTTCTCCTACATTTTTCCTTCAACATGAACAAAGAGAATTTTAGTGCATGGTATAATATACAATGGAATATATCACTAGTTTCAGATAAATAACTTGATGATAATTAACTACTATACATATTTACCTGGTGCTCCTCTTGGCCCCACAATATTATAAGTGCAGCTAAGTGCTCAGGCTCAACCCTCTTATCTCGCTTGTATATCCTCTCCCAGTTGTGAGTGAAACAATCAAAACATTTCTTCTTTATCTCATGTCTCCACTCCCGAAGAGAATGCTTGAACTTTCCCTGATATCCAAATAAAAATTCCCGCCCTACGGGATTGTCTTCGATGTTGAAATATCTCTAAAAAATAAAATATAGTTAAGCATGGACAATTGACAGAATTGAAAAATAATTGTGCTAAATATAAGAATTTACCCAACAATCTCGATATATACTCTCCAGGACATGAAATGAAATGGCTGCTCCCAAGCCTCGTAATAGGGATTCACATTATCACTCCTTCGTATCAAACATCCAAGGTATGAGCTGAAGTTATTAGCCCACTGTCCGGTTGGAATCCCATTATGTCCCCATCTCACAATTGCTCGAAAACCATCCGGTGGTAACTTTTTTTTAAAGTCACTTCCTTGGCGTCCTTTCTTCTGGTAAAGTTTTTCTCCTACAAAAAAGAAATAATAGATATATCAACACTTATTTAATCAATCTTCATGATCCTAGAATTGATTATGTTTTTTTATTAATAGACTCGGAATTGATCAAGTTTTTGATCAAACTCACCAAATCTTTGTCTGATTTCATTTTTTGCATCAGACAAAATCTCATCAATCTGTGGGGCCCATTCATCTAATCTTTGCAAGCATGTATTTTTCAGTCTGCTTGAATCTGTACCCCTCTGCACATGCTGGTAAGGGCCCGCGCTCAATCCCAGGAATGTATGCTCGAAGTATAACTGGAGGATCTGCATGTAATGGTATGTGAGTCGGCTCTTCCTCACCCTCACCTATAAAAATAAAAGAAATAAATTATCATTGTGCATATATCATGAATAAAAATACGTAAGTTAAACTAAGTTATACCTGACATCTCTCCTGAACTCGGAGGCTCTTCATCAGTGGATTGGTCTTGACTGGGGTTAGCTTCGAATAACCTCCTGTTAATATTTTTAGACATCTGCAAGTTGAATAAACATACAAATTAATATAACATAGATGCAAATTAGCTTGGCGAAAATAAAAACAATATGTATTGTTGCGTTACTAAATTTTTCATTTCACATCAAGTTTGTAGGTATTTGCAAGCTGAATATACAAAATAAGATATTACATATTTATATCGTCCAAAATGTAATTGAGATACATTGTAGTGATATTAAAGTTTTTATTATATAATTTGCAAACTAAAAAAAGTTACATGAAGACCCGATTACAAATAATTGCTGTTTAGCTCCTATTAATGTCTGTGATAATATTTGGAATGTCTGTCCGAGTTGTTGGAGCATCCGTTTCAAACACTACGTTTTGAGGGTACGAGAATTCATCGATCGCTGTATTTGGCTCATTGAAGTTGTTTATATAGCTCTCGTCATCATCTTTATTCGTGGAAGGTTGAATATAAGCCCTAGAATCCTTGTACAAGACAACCCACTCGTCTTTAACTGTAGGATCTTTCACATAGAAACATTGTCCCACCTGAGATGCAAACATGAATTTTTTATCATTATCAATTTCTTTATCGAGATTGACAATTGTAAATCCAAAGGGATCCTTTTGAGTCTTTGTAAAACACCAACGAATCATGAACATCATGTATTTATGTTCATTTGGACCACCATAGCCGTAGAATATCTCCACCACATCTTCCAACCTTCCATAATATGTCATATTATTTTCAACTGGATTCTGATCTCTTCTGTTTGAGAAACATTCCCGTGAGAAGGTAGCCATGACACCACTATTCTGGGTGACCTTCGTATCATCAACCTCCATTGTGTGAAATTTATAACCGTTAACACGATACCCACCATATTGAATTACAGCATAGTAAGGCCGCTTTGCGTGAACCTTCACTTCTTCTGATATTTGATTATTAAGGACAAGTTGTTCCTGGATCTAAATATATACAAAAATAAGCAAACTATTAAATCAATAGTTTCTAAGTTTTTTACCAATGAAATACAAATATCGCTAAATTTAACAATACTTCACTATTCAACCAAGCAGGGAATTCCTTCATATGCCTTTCTTTAATGTAATGTACAGCTGTACTACCGATAACTTCATTCTTAAGTTTTCCTGATGTTGCCTATTAATGTGCATAAATTTAATTATTATTGTCAAAATAAAAATTTGGTCAAAATAGAAATTAAAGAATAAATGGTATTAAAAATTCTTTTTAGATATTTTACCTCCGGTACTCCGAGAATATTTTAAGATTATTTATAACATATGCATGCGCTTGATCTAACAATATGCTAGAATAATTTTTGTTCAGCCCGCGAGGATAGAGAACTGTGTACTCCTTATTATCAACGGGTGCTTGAAGTTCAGTTTGTTCCCCTCTCATATAACGAGAGGCAAATAAGAGACACTCGCTTCTCACGTAACTTTCAGCTATTGAACCTTCTGGACGAGCTCTGTTACGCAATTGACGCTTCATTGTGCCCAAATATCTAAAAAAGGAATATTAATCAGATATAGATGTAAAGAAATTTACATTTAATAGATATAAATATTGATAGGTAACGATTAAATTTTTCTAAATACTAACCTCTCTATTGGATACATCCAACGATAATGGACTGGTCCTGCTATTGCAGCCTCCTCCGCGAGATGATGTGTAAGATGAACCATTATTGTGAAAAAAGATGGAGGAAAGAGCATCTTCATTTCACACATTGTTTCAGAAATATTTTCTCTTAAGTTTCTCAAAGTCACGGGCGTCTATAACTTTAGAACAAAGCTTTCTGAAAAATCCACAAAAATCAATAATAACCTTCACTGTTTTTTTATTCTGCATAGTACTGCGTAGTGCCACATGTAGCAATTGATGAAGAAGCACGTGATAATCATGAGTTTTAAGCCCTAATATTTTCCTTTCTTGGACCTGGACATAGTTCGATATGTTTGCGGAATAACCCTCTGGTAACTTTATTGATTTGAGGACTTGACAAAAAATTTGCATCTCAACTTTCGACATTGTAATACGAGACGCAGGCAACTCTAATCGATCATTTCCGACATTTTTTGGCTGCAGTTCCTCTCTAATGTTCAATGCAGTTAGATCTCGACGAGCTCGTAGATCATCCTTTGATTTATTAGCATCTTGCAACAGTGTGGACAAAAGATTATCACAAATATTTTTTTCAATGTGCATAACGTCCAAGTTGTGACGTATTTTTAGCTCTTTCCAATAGGGGAGTTGAAAAAAAATGCTGAATTTTGTCCATCCTAAAGGTAATTTTACGACTTCAGCCCCATCACTCACTACTTGTGCTTGTCTTTTTCGTTTTGGCATCCTTTTGTTAATACGCAAGTTCCTTACTCCAAGTAAATCTTCTTTCGAATAGCGCTTCTTTCCAAACCTGACGGCAGGGAACATCTCAAGCAAATGTACAATCTGATCCCCACGTAATGGACGCGGAGCATCTCTCTTCTCAATAGTATCATCAAAAAACTTGCTCCATTTTTTTGTTCTGTACCTGTGTTTTATGTTCAACCACCTTCTATTAAACCAATAACAAAACTTTCGACTGTGCTGCAGATAAAGACCTTTGAATTCTGGACCACACACTGGACATGCATATGTTCCCTTTGTAGACCAACCTGAAAGATTCGCATAGGCTGGAAAATCATTAATTGTCCATAGTAAAATAGCACGTAGTCTGAAAGACTGCTTTGCATGAGTATCATAAGTCATAACCCCTTCAGTCCAGAGTTGTTTTAACTCATCAATTAGCGGTTCTAAAAACACATCTATGTCATTGCCTGGTGCATGCTTGCCCGGTATCAATAATGAAAGTATCATATACGGTTGTTTCATGCAAAGCCAAGGTGGTAAGTTGTAAGGCGTTAATACCACAGGCCATGTAGACCAACCAGAACTCATTATCCCAAATGGATTGAATCCGTCGCTAGACAAACCTAGTCTAACATTCCTGCACTCATTCGCAAACCAAGGAAAAGTTCTATCCATATGCTTCCACGCCTCTGCATCAGCCGGATGTCTGATTTTACCATCATCAGTACGTTCTTCCATGTGCCACCTCATTTGCTTAGCAGTGTCTTTATTCATATACAACCGTTTTAGCCTTGGTATTAAGGGAAAATGACGCAGGACCTTTGCTGGAATCTTCTTTTGCTTAAGCATAGACCTTGTTGTCCCATGTGTTGAATAATTTTTGCGTTGTACCCACCGTGATACTCCACAAATTGGACACTCCTGAAGATCTTTGTTATCCTTATAGTAGAGGATACAATCATTAGGGCATGCGTCGATTTTATTGTAATCAAGTCCTATAACGGAAACAATCTTCTTTGCGTTATCATAATTTTCTGGTATGCTATCTTTTCCATTTGGAATGACTTTTCTCAGCAACACAAGCAACATATTAAAATATTTATCCGCCATTCCTCTAAGAGACTTTATACGCAAAAGACGACGCATAAATGATAACCTGGTGAACTCGGTACAACCCTCATACAGATCATTTTCATTGTCGTTAATTAATTTCATTATCTGCGCTAGCTCCTCATGATCAGTCACGCAGCATTTCCCGACTCGTCAGCATCCTCGGCATCTTCAGATTGATCTATATTAGGAACTGTTAACATATCCGCGAGCATCGTATGTGTATCATCTATTCTCGTATCATCTATTCTCCCACCGGACGTACCGGTATCCGCCATCAGTTCCATTTCTTCAAGGCATCCTTCCCCATGAAACGTCCAATATTTGTACTCCTCATGAAATCCGGATATTAAGTGTTTCTGTAAATCACTTTTATCCACCAACGCCCTATTTTTACACCAACAGCAGGGACAATACACGACATCACTATTTAACTTCCGTGGGTCTGCCAAGGCGTACTGTATGAATTGATTTATTCCATCTTTATATCGACTATCCCTCCATCTATCAATACGAGGAATATCGATCCATGATTTGTCCGGAACTATCCTCATAGATTTGTATGATATTAAGCATAATTAGATAATGTGAATTTTTATTATTAACGCATCAAATTAAAGGTTGCGTGATATTAACTTTCTTCACGACATCAAGGAAATTTTAATTATAATAATCTAGGAGGGAAAATTACCAGAACATAAATTATGTGGGAGTAAAATCTAACGCTCATATTTGAAATAAGACAATTTAACGGCTGTCATAGAAAATGGACCTATCCCATTAAAAATATAGTAGTGTTTACAACTACCTTTATATACTT